CTCCTCAGAACCAACAGTAGAACAGAGAGGTTACCCTCCTCAGAACCAACGGTAGAACAGAGAGAGGTTACCCTCCTCAGAACCAACAGTAGAACAGAGAGAGAGGTTACCCTCCTCAGAACCAACGGTAGAACAGAGAGAGGTTACCCTCCTCAGAACCAACAGTAGAACAGGTTACCCTCCTCAGAACCAACAGTAGAACAGGTTACCCTCCTCAGAACCAACAGTAGAACAGAGAGGTTACCCTCCTCAGGACCAACAGTAGAACAGAGAGAGGTTACCCTCCTCAGAACCAACAGTAGAACAGAGAGAGGTTACCCTCCTCAGAACCAACAGTAGAACAGGTTACCCTCCTCAGAACCAACGGTAGAACAGAGAGGTTACCCTCCTCAGGACCAACAGTAGAACAGAGAGAGGTTACCCTCCTCAGAACCAACAGTAGAACAGAGAGAGGTTACCCTCCTCAGAACCAACAGTAGAACAGAGAGAGGTTACCCTCCTCAGAACCAACAGTAGAACAGAGAGGTTACCCTCCTCAGAACCAACAGTAGAACAGAGAGAGGTTACCCTCCTCAGAACCAACAGTAGAACAGAGAGAGGTTACCCTCCTCAGAACCAACAGTAGAACAGAGAGAGGTTACCCTCCTCAGAACCAACAGTAGAACAGAGAGAGAGGTTACCCTCCTCAGAACCAACAGTAGAACAGAGAGGTTACCCTCCTCAGAACCAACAGTAGAACAGAGAGAGGTTACCCTCCTCAGAACCAACAGTAGAACAGAGAGAGGTTACCCTCCTCAGAACCAACAGTAGAACAGAGAGAGGTTACCCTCCTCAGAACCAACAGTAGAACAGAGAGAGGTTACCCTCCTCAGAACCAACAGTAGAACAGGTTACCCTCCTCAGAACCAACAGTAGAACAGAGAGAGGTTACCCTCCTCAGAACCAACGGTAGAACAGAGAGAGGTTACCCTCCTCAGAACCAACAGTAGAACAGAGAGAGGTTACCCTCCTCAGAACCAACAGTAGAACAGAGAGAGGTTACCCTCCTCAGAACCAACAGTAGAACAGAGAGAGATTACCCTCCTCAGAACCAACAGTAGAACAGAGAGAGGTTACCCTCCTCAGAACCAACAGTAGAACAGAGAGGTTACCCTCCTCAGAACCAACAGTAGAACAGAGAGAGGTTACCCTCCTCAGAACCAACGGTAGAACAGAGAGAGAGGTTACCCTCCTCAGAACCAACAGTAGAACAGAGAGAGGTTACCCTCCTCAGAACCAACGGTAGAACAGAGAGAGAGGTTACCCTCCTCAGAACCAACAGTAGAACAGAGAGAGGTTACCCTCCACAGAACCAACAGTAGAACAGGTTACCCTCAGAACCAACGGTAGAACAGAGAGAGGTTACCCTCCTCAGAACCAACAGTAGAACAGGTTACCCTCCTCAGAACCAACAGTAGAACAGGTTACCCTCCTCAGAACCAACAGTAGAACAGAGAGAGGTTACCCTCCTCAGAACCAACGGTAGAACAGAGAGAGGTTACCCTCCTCAGAACCAACAGTAGAACAGAGAGAGTTTACCCTCCTCAGAACCAACAGTAGAACAGAGAGAGGTTACCCTCCTCAGAACCAACAGTAGAACAGGTTACCCTCCTCAGAACCAACAGTAGAACAGGTTACCCTCCTCAGAACCAACAGTAGAACAGAGAGAGGTTACCCTCCTCAGAACCAACGGTAGAACAGAGAGAGGTTACCCTCCTCAGAACCAACAGTAGAACAGAGAGGTTACCCTCCTCAGAACCAACAGTTAACACTGGACAGCTAGTTTCCTCTTTTCGATGATTACACTTTTCATGATTGAATGGAAACATGTACGAATGTCAAGGCACTGCATAATTTATAGCAAGTCAGACAGTAACAGGTCATTCCGCAGCACATAGGCTACTTCAAAGCAAACACCTAAAGCGCAAATCTCAAGTATTCAGCCCCTTGGATTGTTTCATATTTTGCTGCGTGGGATTGAAATGGATTTGATTGTGATTTATTGTTATTGATCTACACAAAATACTCCATAATGTCAAAGATAAAATACATTTCAACAAATTAATAAAAACAAAATAACTAAAATAGTCATTGCATTAGTGTTCAGCCCTTTTGTTTAGGCAAGCCTAAATTAGTTCAGGAGTAAAATGTGGCTTAACAAACCACAATAAATGACATGGACTGTTTGAAATAAGAGCGGTTGACATTATTTTTGAATGACTACCCCTTCCTCTGTCCCCCATACATACATACATACATCTGGAAGGTCCCTCAATCAACTATTGCATTTCAAGCACAGATTAAACTACAAAGACCAGGGAGCTTCTTTGAAAGCCTCATATCCACCCAGACACAACAAGTATAGAGTCGTCCTTCTGAACTGAGCTGACGGAAGGAAACTGCTCAGGGATGTTACCACGAGGCCCTTGGTGATTTTAAAATAGCTACTGAGTTGAATGGCTGTGACAGGAGATAACTGAGGATGGATCAACGACATTGTAGTTACTCCACAACTAAACTATTCAAACATGCATCCTGTATGAGGACACTTTTTTTTTTTTATGAGCATGGCCTTATTTCTATTACAGCATATTGAAGGACTGTCATTTTGAAAGCCTCATATCCACCCAGACACAAGTATACAGTCGTCCTTCTGAACTGAGCTGAAGGAAGGAAACTCATTCATCTTCCATTCACCCAGTTCAATGTAACATCGATAGGTTTAGGCTACTACATGATACTCAAATTTTTCCCTATACCCATCATGAGGTTGCTACAACCTAGCCTATGAATGAAAGTTTACAACGTAGGCGCACACAGGTCGAGAGAAGAATTTGAGTAATCAAGGTGACAGACATTGACACATTCAATACCGCCTTGCACACTCTTGCCTGCATCTAGCTGATCTAGGGTGTCATCATTAGTCCAAACAGTTGCAAAACGTTTTGTTTTGCTAATAAAACTAGAGTTTCTATTGGACAAATTCAGGTTTCGCTCCATATGCTTAAGAAACGTTTTGTAACAGAATCGGTAGAATTAATAATGAATACACCCCTGATCACCTGATCACACAGTTTACTTCCATAGCAGCCACATACAGCAGCATCACTGCTTGTTGCATAAGGCCTAGATTCAATCACATCAAGCGTTAACCGCTGATAGCAGACACCCGCATAGCGGAGGTGGAACTGCTGTTGGAGCGGAAAATCGGTGAGCTCTACTCTTGCGAATCATTGTCACGAAGCCACACCTGCCTTAGAAGTTCAGAGCAAGAACGTGTTATATATAAATAATTACACACACATTTAAAAAATCATTCAACAAAATAATGAGGATTTCTATCATCCTAATGGAGGTGTAGATTACATCTCATTCCTGTGTTTGAACTAAACAAGACTGCATGGGATTTCTGTTAATGCGACTCTGTGCAGCCAATGGCAATGTCCACATAAGGTGTAATGGAACCATTCCACGCTGGCATAGGGTAAGTCTGAATACCAACTACTGAGAAGTGCATAGAAAGGTGTACATTTCCTAAGTCTGAATCGGCCCCTTAGATACCAACCCAAGAAGACTCACAGCTGTATTCGCTGCCAAAGGTGTTTCTAACGTGTATTGACTCAGGGGGGTGAATCCTTATCTAAATCAAGGTTTATACGGGTGGGTCTAATCCTGGATGCTGATTGGTTAAAACTGCATTCCAGCCCGTGTCTATTCCACAAGTTGCCACCTGCTAAATCTATGACGTTAAAATGCCTATTTACTCCGTTCCATCTGACTGCACAATCCACTGTCTCATCAGCCCAGCCAGGCAATTTATATACTATATCTACACTGTAAAAAGCATCTAGACATTATCTCACATTCTTTTACACTAGCATTTGGTTTTCAACAGTGGAGATTTGTAGTAACCTTGCTGTCTGTCTCTCCGACATTTGCAACGTTGTTTCAATATTGACATTTGATCTCCAGCTGTCCCACAGTAATGAACGTGTCGGGAGTCGGGACGAGACAGACAGACAGACAGACAGACAGGCAGACAGACAGGCAGGCAGGCAGACAGACAGACAGACAGACAGGCAGACAGGCAGACAGACAGGCAGGCAGGCAGGCAGGCAGACAGGCAGACAGGCAGGCAGACAGGCAGACAGGCAGTGTTTCTCAGCCAGTCTAAATCAGCATCATTTTTATGGATATATACAAATGCAGCTATTTTTTTATGTCATTCCAGCTTCAGTTTAAAGTGATTGTGTTAGCTGTGTAGTTTGCTCTCTCTTCTGAACAGTGGCCTGGCAAGATAGCAAATGTTCTATGCCAGGTGAAATCACATATCATTAGCTCATTGTTATAGATGTATCCCAACAAAACAAAAAACACACTAGAAAATGTGGTCCTCTGTAGCTCAGCTGGTAGAGCACGGCGCTTGTAACGCCAAGGTAGTGGGTTCGATCCCCGGGACCACCCATACACAAAAATGTATGCACGCATGACTGTAAGTCGCTTTGGATAAAAGCGTCTGCTAAATGGCATATTATATTATTATTATTATAGCTTAAACGCAAATACAGCTACTTTGCTGTTATTCTGGCTACACTGTTTGACGTGACGGTGTTAGCCGTAGTTGGCTAGCTAGCGAGGGATAAGATCATTGCCAGCCATTATGGCAACGGAACATTTAGAACGAACGACCAGCCGGCTTGGGAGATTTGTGTCAGGACTATATCTCGTGGAAGGATGAAATGGTATGAATAAATATGTAACCCGTTGTATAAAAGTGATAATGCCCTCGAAGCCGGTGTTCGCCTCGGTCCTAACAACACCCGTGCCAATATATCCTCCAAACACCGGCTTCTCATTATCACTTAAATATTAGCGCTTCATTTTTCATTACTTAAGAAAATTTTATATAATTTTTTCCACTTCAGTATTTTGTATAAATCGTTTTTTTTCAAAAAATGAAAATGAAATCCACTTTAATCCCACTTTGTAACACAAAATGTGAAGAAATCCAAGAGGGTGAATACTATATATATTTAAGATAAGACAACAGTGCATATTGTTAATAAAGGCTCAATCACTTTGTGATTTCCAGTGTCAAGGAATCCTTAGCTACAGCAACGGTCTCTGGAACCAATGATCCAACAGAAATTCTTAAAATCAGTCAATTCAGGTAATTCATTCAAATTAAATTCACAAATTGAGAATCGATAGCTTGTAATTTTCCATTGGGAATTCCCCAATTTAAGACTTTAAAGTGAAACGGAACCCTAATGCCATATGATGTACTGTACGTATGGAAATCCTCCCAATCAGAAGTAGAGGCGGTCAGCGATGACGGCAGGCAGGTGTGTCATCACCTGCATCCTGATCCACCAATGAGGCTCCATGGGGTTGTAGCGCGTGAACGGGCGGTGTGACGTGATGGCGTCGGTGATGTCATCTAGGACGGGTTGGACATCCTTCTGTCCGCTGCTACAGTACGACCTCATCATCGCCATGTGTCTGTCGAAGTGGGCGTGGCCATAGTCCTCCTGGACACCAGGGGGCGCCTCTCTCCACAGTTTGTCAGCCGTGGTCGCCACAATGTCCCGCGTCAGGATGCCCGTGGCCACAATGAAGTTCCCCGGCTCGATGACGGAGACCTTGACCCCCCAGGCCTTCATCTCGTAACGTAGACAGTCGGAGAACGCTTCCACGCCATATTTAGACACGCAGTACGGAGAACGCAGGGCATTGCCCATCCGCCCATACATACTGGCCAGGTTGACCACACGACCTGCAACAACACAGTGGCATTAGGTTATTACATAGATAAACACCTATTTAACAACACAGTGGCATTAGGTTATTACATAGATAAATACCTATTTAACAACACAGTGGCATTAGGTTATTACATAGATAAATACCTATTTAACAACACAGTGGCATTAGGTTATTACATAGATAAATACCTATTTAACAACACAGTGGCATTAGGTTATTACATAGATAAATACCTATTTAACAACACAGTGGCATTAGGTTATTACATAGATAAATACCTATTTAACAACACAGTGGCATTAGGTTATTACATAGATAAATACCTATTTAACAACACAGTGGCATTAGGTTATTACATAGATAAATACCTATTTAACAACACAGTGGCATTAGGTTATTACATAGATAAATACCTATTTAACAACACAGTGGCATTAGGTTATTACATAGATAAATACCTATTTAACAACACAGTGGCATTAGGTTATTATATAGATAAATACCTATTTAACAACACAGTGGCATTAGGTTATTATATAGATAAATACCTATTTAACAACACAGTGGCATTAGGTTATTACATAGATAAATACCTATTTAACAACACAGTGGCATTAGGTTATTATATAGATAAATACCTATTTAACAACACAGTGGCATTAGGTTATTATATAGATAAATACCTATTTAACACAGTGGCATTAGGTTATTATATAGATAAATACCTATTTAACAACACAGTGGCATTAGGTTATTACATAGATAAATACCTATTTAACAACACAGTGGCATTAGGTTATTACATAGATAAAAACCTATTTAACAACACAGTGGCATTAGGTTATTACATAGATAAATACCTATTTAACAACACAGTGGCATTAGGTTATTATATAGATAAATACCTATTTAACAACACAGTGGCATTAGGTTATTATATAGATAAATACCTATTTAACAACACAGTGGCATTAGGTTATTACATAGATAAATACCTATTTAACAACACAGTGGCATTAGGTTATTACATAGATAAATACCTATTTAACAACACAGTGGCATTAGGTTATTACATAGATAAATACCTATTTAACAACACAGTGGCATTAGGTTATTACATAGATAAATACCTATTTAACAACACAGTGGCATTAGGTTATTACATAGATAAATACCTATTTAACAACACAGTGGCATTAGGTTATTATATAGATAAATACCTATTTAACAACACAGTGGCATTAGGTTATTACCTACAGTGCATTTGGAAAGTATTCTGACCCCTTGACTTTTTCCAAATGTTGTTACGTTACAACCTTATTCTAAAATTGATTAAATTGTTTTTCCCCCCCCTCATCAATCTACACACAATGACAACACCAAAACAGGTTGAGAAAATGTTGCTTATTTATAAAACAATGTGCCATTTCAAATAAAATTGAATTTGTCAAATGTACCGAATACAACAGGTGTAGACCTTACAGTGAAACGCTTACTTACAAGCCCTTAACCAACAATGCAATTAAGAAAAGTATAGATAACTATAAAAAAAATATAATAATTAAAGAGCAGCAGTAAAATAACAGTAGGGAGGCTATATATACAGGGGGGTACCGGTACAGAGTCAATGTGCGGGGGCACCGGCTAGTTGAGGTAGTTGAAGTAATATGTACATGTGGGTAGAGTTAAAGTGACTATGCATAAATAATTAACAGAGTAGCAGCAGCGTAAAAGGATGGGGTGGGGGGGCAGTGCAAATAGTCCGGGTAGCCATGATTAGCTGTTCAGCAGTCTTATGACTTGGGGGTAAAAGCTGTTGAGAAGTCTTTTGGACCTAGACTTGGCACTCCAGTACCGCTTGCCGTGCGGTAGCAGAGAGAACAGTCTATGATTAGGGTGGCTGGAGTCTGACAATTTGTAGGGCCTTCCTCTGACACCGCCTGGTATAGAGGTCCTGGATGGCAGGAAGCTTGGCCCCAGTGATGTACTGGGCTATACGCACTACCGTCTGTAGTGCCTTGCGGTCGGAGGCCGAGCAGTTGCCATACCAGGCAGTGATTTACATTTACGTCATTTAGCAGACGCTCTTATCCAGAGCGACTTACAAATAGGTGCATTCACCTTATAGCCAGTGGGATCACCACTTTACAATGTTTTTTTTGTTTTTGGGTTGGGGTTGGGGTAAGGGGGGGGGGGTAGAAGGATTACTTTATCCTATCCCAGATATTCCTTAAAGAGGTGGGGTTTCAAATGTCTCCGGAAGGTGGTGAGTGACGAATGCACCAGTGATGCAACCAGTCAGGATGCTCTCGATGGTGCAGCTGTATTACTTTTTGTTAAGTATTAAGTATTCAGACCCTTTACTCAGTACTTTGTTGAAGCACCTTTGGCAGCTTTTACAGCCTCGAGTCTTCTTGGGTATGACGCTACAAGCTTGGCACACCTGTATTTGGGGAGTTTCTCCCATTCTTCTCTGCAGATCCTCTCAAGCTCTGTCAGGTTGAATGGGGAGCGTAGCTGCACAGCTATTTTCAGGTCTCTCCAGAGATGTTAGATCGGGTTGTAAGTCCGGTCTCTGGCTGGACCACTTAAGGACATTCAGAGACTTGTCCCGAAGCCACTCCTGTGTTGTCTTGGCTGTGCGCTTATGGTCGTTGTCCTGTTGGAAGGTGAACCTTCGCCCCAGTCTGAGGTCCTGAGCGCTCTGGAGCAGGTTTTCATCAAGGATCTTTCTGTACTTTGCTCCTTTCATCTTTGCCTCAATCCTGACTAGTCTCCCAGTCCCTGCCGCTGGAAAACATCCCCACAGCATGATGCTGCCACCACCATGCTTCACCGTAGGGATGGTGCCAGGTTTCCTCCAGACGTGACACTTGGCATTCCGGCCAAAGAGTTCAATCTTGGTTTCATCAGACCAGAGAATCTTGTTTCTCATGGTCTGAGAATCCTTTAGGTGCCTTTTGGAAAACTCCAAGCGGGCTGTCATGTGCCTTTTACTGAGGAGTGGCTTCCATCTGGCCACTCTACCATAAAGGCCTGAATGGTGGAGTGCTGCAGAGATGGTTGTCCTTCTGGAAGGTTCTTCCATCTCCACAGAGGAACTATGGAGCAATGTCAGATTGTCCATCGGGTTCGTGGTCACCTCCCTGACCAAGGCCCTTCTCCCGCGATTGCTCAGTTTGTCCGGGCGGCCAGCTCTAAGAAGAGTCTTGGTGGTTCTAAAAAACGTCTTCCTTTTAAGAATGATGGAGGCCACTGTGTTCTTGGGGACCTTCAATGCTGCAGAAATTTTTTATTATCCTTCCCCAGATCTGTGCCTCGACACAATCCTGTCTCGGAGCTCTAAAGACAATTCCATCGAACTCACGGCTTGGTTATTGCTCTGACATGAACTGTCAACTATGGGAACTTATATAGACAGGTGTGTGCCTTTCCAAATCATGTCCAATCAATTGAATTTACCACAGGTGGACTCCAATCAAGTTGTAGAAACATCTCAAGGATGATCAATGGAAACAGGATGCACGTGAGCTCAATTTCGAGTCTCATAGCAAAGAGTCTGAATACTTATGTAAATAAGGTATTTCTGTTTTCGCTTTGTCATTATGGGGTATTGTGTGTAGATTGATGAGGAATCTATTTTAGAATAAGGCTGTAACGTAACAAAATGTGGAAAACATCTAGGGGTCTTAATATTTTCCGAAAGCACTGTACAGGGTCAGTTCCTGTGCCATATTAACAATGTGCAGGGATACTGGAGTGATGGAGGTAGATATGTATAGGGGTAAGGTGACTATATACAGGGTCAGTTCCAGTACCATATTAACAATGTGCAGGGATACTGGAGTGATGGAGGTAGATATATATAGGGGTAAGGTGACTATATACAGGGTCAGTTCCAGTACCATATTAACAATGTGCAGGGATACTGGAGTGATAGAGGTACAGTGAGGGAAAAAAGTATTTGATCCCCTGCTGATTTTGTACGTTTGCCCACTGACAAAGACATGATCAGTTTATAATTTTAATGGTAGGTTTATTTGAACAGTGAGAGACAGAATAACAACAAAAAAATCCAGAAAAACGCATGTCAAAAATGTTATAAATTGATTTGCATTTTAATGAGGGAAATAAGTATTTGACCCCTCTGCAAAGCATGATTTACTACTTGGTGGCAAAACCCTTGTTGACAATCACAGAGGTCAGACGTTTCTTGTAGTTGGCCACCAGGTTTGCACACATCTCAGGAGGGATTTTGTCCCACTCCTCTTTGCAGATCTTCTCCAAGTCATTAAGGTTTCGAGGCTGACGTTTGGCAACCCGAACCTTCAGCTCCTTCCACAGATTTTCTATGGGATTATGGTCTGGAGACTGGCTAGGCCACTCCAGGACCTTAATGTGCTTCTTCTTGAGCCACTCCTTTGTTGCCTTGGCCGTGTGTTTTGGGTCATTGTCATGCTGGAATACCCATCCACGACCCATTTTCAATGCCCTGCCTGAGGGAAGGAGGTTCTCACCCAAGATTTGACGGTACATGGCCCCGTCCATCGTCCCTTTGATGCGGTGAAGTTGTCCTGTCCCTTTAGCAGAAAAACACCCCCAAAGCATAATGTTTCCACCTCCATGTTTGACGGTGGGGATGGTATTTTTGGGGTCATAGGCAGCATTCCTCCTCCTCCAAACACGGCGAGTTGAGTTGATACCAAAGAGCTCGATTTTGGTCTCATATGACCACAACACTTTTACCCAGCTCTCCTCTGAATCATTCAGATGTTCATTGGCAAACTTCAGACGGGCCTGTATATGTGCTTTCTTGAGCAGGGGGACCTTGCGGGCTCTGCAGGATTTCAGTCCTTCACGGCGTAGTGTGTTACCAATTGTTTTCTTGGTGGCTATGGTCCCAGCTGCCTTGAGATCATTGACAAGATCCTCCCGTGTAGTTCTGGGCTGATTCCTCACCGTTCTCATGATCATTTCAACTCCACGAGGTGAGATCTTGCATGGAGCCCCAGGCCGAGGGAGATTGACAGTTCTTTTGTGTTTCTTCCATTTGCGAATAATCGCACCAACTGTTGTCACCTTCTCACCAAGCTGCTTGGCGATGGTCTTGTAGCCCATTCCAGCCTTGTGTAGGTCTACAATCTTGTCCCTGACATCCTTGGAGAGCTCTTTGGTCTTGGCCATGGTGGAGAGTTTGGAATCTGATTGATTGACTGCTTCTGTGGACAGGTGTATTTTATACAGGTAACAAACTGAGATTAGGAGTACTCCCTTTAAGAGTGTGCTCCTAATCTCAGCTCAGTACCTGTATAAAAGACACCTGGGAGCCAGAAATCTTTCTGATTGAGAGGGGGTCAAATACTTATTTCCCTCATTAAAATGCAAATCAATTTATAACATTTTTGACATGTGTTTTTCTGGATTTTTTTGTTGTTATTCTGTCTCTCACTGTTCAAATAAACCTACCATTAAAATGATAGACTGATCATTTCTTTGTCAGTGGGCAAACATACAAAATCAGCAGGGGATCAAATACTTTTTTCCCTCATTGTAGATATGTATTGGGGTAAGGTGACGAGGCATCAGGATATATGATAAACAGAGTAGCAGCAGTGTATTTGATGATTGGGTGTGAGTGTGTGTAGAGTCAGTATAAATGTGTGTATGTTATGTGTGTGTGTTGGAGTGTCAGTGTGTGTGAGTGTGCAGAGTCCTGTCACTGGTATTTGGAACTGTTCATAATTCCCTCCACCTTGACTAAGGCCCCGGTTCCAGCTGAAGAAAAACAGCCCCAAAGCATGATGCTGCCACCACCATGCTTCACTGTGGGTATGGTGTTCTTTGGGTGATGTGGGTATGGTGTTCTTTGGGTGATGTGGGTATGGTGTTCTTTGGGTGATGTGGGTATGGTGTTCTCTGGGTGATGTGCAGTGTTGTTTTTGCACCAAACATACCTTTTGGAATTATGGCCAAAAAGTTCAACCTTGGTTTCATCAGACCATAACACATTTTCCCACGTGTTTTGGGGGGGACTTTCCCACTTGTTTTTGCAAACTTCAGCCGGGCTTGGATGTTTTTCTTTGTAAGAAAAGGCTTCCGTCCTGCCACCCTACCCCATGGCCCATTCATATGAAGAATACGGGAGATTGTTGTCACATGTAGCACACAGCCAGTACTTGCCAGAAATTCCTGCAGTTCCTTTAATGTTGCTGTAGGCCTCTTGGAAGCCTCCCCGACCAGTTTTTCTTCTCCTCTTTTCATAAATTTTGGAGGGACGTCCAGTTCTTGGTAATGTCTCTGTTGTGCCATATTTTCTCCACTTGATGATGACTGTCTTCACTGTGTTCCATGGTATATGTAATGCTTTGGAAATTATTTTGTATCCTTCTCCTGACTGATATCTTTCAACAATGACATCCCTCTGATGCCTTGGAATCTCTCTGCGGACCATGGCTTTTGCTCTGAGATGCAACTAAGAAAATGTCTGGAAAATCCTACTAGAACAGCTGAACTTTATTTGTGATTAATCAGAGTCACTTTAAATGATGGCAGGTGTGTAATGACTTCTATTTAACACGAGTTTGAATGTGATTGGTTAATTCTGAACACAGCCACATCCCCAGTTATATGAGGGTGTGCACACTGATGCAACCAGGTTATTGTAAGGTTTTCATTTGTCATTTTTCCCCCCTCGAAGATTTCAGTTTGTTTTTCAATTGAATGGTTCCCATTATAGGTCACATTAAAGGTGGAAAAAGTTCTGACATGATTTATCTTTGTCTCATTATTTTACATCACAAAAACCTGCCATTTTAACAGGGGTGTGGAGACTATATATCTCCACTGTATGTGTCTGTTGGTGTCTGTTGCCTGACCTTTGGCCCTACGGACGAGGGGCAGGAGGGCCTTGGTGACCCTGATGACCCCCCACAGGTTGACCTCTGACACCTGGCGGTACGTCTCCATGGTCGTAAACTCCACCTCGCCAAACGTAGACACACCTGCGTTGTTCACCACGGCCCACAGACCTGGTCAGGGGAGGAGAGAAGAGGGGTTATGATATAAACGTAACCATTAGCACTGTCTCCTTCAGCGTTCCCCATGGGTCTATATTGGGGCCCACAGACCTGGTCAGGGGAGGAGAGAAGAGGGGTTATGATATGAACCACTAGCACTGTCTCCTTCAGTGTTCCCCATGGGTCTATATTGGGGCCCATTCTCTTCTTAATACATACTCAGACACCATATCACAGAGTGCCTTCAGAAAGTATTCATACACCTGGATTTATATTTAATCCATTTTGAATTCAGGCTGTAACACAACAAAATGTGGAATGTTTTTTACTTACCCATCTACACACAATACCCCATAATGACAAAGTGAAAATATGTTTTTAGAAATGTTTGCAAAGTTACTGAAAATGAAATACAGAAATCTCATTTACATACAGTAAGTATTCAGACCCTTTGCTATGAGACTCCAAATTGAGCTCAGGTGCATCCTGTTTTCATTGATCATCCTTGAGATGTTTCTACAAATTGATTGAAGTCCACCTGTGATAAATTCAATTGATTGGACATGATTTGGAAAGGCACACACCTGTCTATATAAGGTCCCACAGTTGACAGTGCATGTCAGACCAAAAACCAAGCCATGAAGTCCAAGGAACTTTCCGTCGATCTCCGAGATTGAATTGTGATGAGGCATATATCTGGGGTATAAAACCATTTCTAGAGTGTTGAACGTTTCCAAGAGCCCAGTGGTCTCCATCATTGGGAATTTGAAAAAATATGTAACTACCCCCCAGACTCTGCCTAGAGCTGGCCGTCCGACCAAACTGATCAACATGGCAAGAAGGACCTTGGTCAGGGAGGTGACCAAGAACCCAATGACCACTCTGACAGAACTACAGAGTTCCTTGGCTGAGATGGGAGAACCTGCCAGAAGGAAAACAGTCTCTACAGCACTTCACCGATATGGGCTTCATGGGACGGAAGCTACTCCTGAGAAAAAGGCACATGACAGAGTTTGTGAAAAGGCACGTGATAGACGGAGCATAAGGCAAAATATTCTGTGGCCTGATGAGACAAAACTGTAACTCTTTGGCCTGATTGCAAAGAGCCTGAAAACCAGGCACAGATCACCCTTCTAACACCATCCGTACCGTGAAGCATGGTCGTGGCAGCATCATGCTATGGGGACGCTTTTCAGCGGCAGGGACTGGGAGACTGGTAAGGATAGAGGGAACAATGAATGGAGCCAAATACAGGCAAATCCTTAATGAGAACCTGCTTCAGAGTGAAAATGACCTTAGACTGGGGCGAAGATTTACATTCCAACAGGACAATGACCCCAATCATACAGCTAAAGCAACGCTGGAATGGCTTTAGAACAAGAATGTGAGAGTCCTTGAGAGGCCCAGCCAAAGCCCAGACATGAATCCCATTGAAAGACTTCAAGATTGCTGTTCACGGCCGCTCCCCATCGAACTTAACAGAGCTTGAGAAAATATGCAAGGAAGAACGGGAGAAAATCCCCAAATCCAGATGTGCAAAGCCGATACAGACATACCCAAGACGACTCACAGCTGTAATCGCCGCCAAAGGTGCTTCTACAAAGTATTGCCTCAGGGGTGTGAATAAATGAGGTTTCTGTACTTCATTTTCAATAATTTGCAAAAATATCTTAAAACATGTTTTCACTGATGTCTGGCAGTGAGAGAGACGGATGTTCTGTACCTCTCTGTGAGTCGTCCAGGTGTGAGTTGACGTACTCCACAGCTCTGTTCACCTGCTCCTCGCTGCAGACATCCAGCTGAACCACCTTCATCCGATCTGACTGCATCTCCTCTAGCTCCTTAGACCCCCTCTCACCCTTATCCTGGAGACGAAAGGCAGCTAATCAGATGAACTCAAACACTGTCTGACTATATAGTCAGTGGCTGTCTGAATATTTCAACAATGAGCACAAACTCAGCGTCTACAGCTCCAGCCTATTATTTTACAGACAGAAATCCTACTTTCCCATTTCCTTAGCATCTAATGCATTATCAACGTTTGGGTAGAAGACATTTTACCTAAATATAAACTAATAACATTACCTTGAACAGGCATCCAGCGAAGACAGTGAAGCCCAGTTTGTGGAGGTGTTTAGCCGTAGCATGACCAAACCCACTGTCACAGCCTGTGATGAATACTGACTTTCCCTTTACCTGCAACATGGACAAACTGTGTAATATTACCCAACACAAACTCTGTAAGATTACCCAACACAAACTCTGTAAGATTACCCAACACAAACTGTGTAATATTACCCAACACAAACTGTGTAATATTACCCAACACAAACTGTGTAATATTACCCAACACAAACTGTGTAATATTACCCAACACAAACTGTGTAATATTACCCAACACAAACTCTGTAAGATTACCCAACACAAACTGTGTAATATTACCCAACACAAACTCTGTAAGATTACCCAACACAAACTGTGTAATATTACCCAACACAAACTCTGTAAGATTACCCAACACAAACTCTGTAAGATTACCCAACACAAACTGTGTAAGATTACCCAACACAAACTCTGTAAGATTACCCAACACAAACTGTGTAATATTACCCAACACAAACTGTGTCATTTTAAAGGGTTTGAATTGAGTGCAAGTTGCAACAGCAAGCTGAGAAACTGCACTGCTTTGTGGAATTGACAACATTATTTCAGACTATTGTGGGCTACTTTTATATGCCATTTTTTTTAATATGCCATTTAGCAGACGCTTTTATCCAAAGCGACTTACAGTCATGCGTGCATACATTTTTACGTATGGGTGGTCCCGGGGATCGAACCCACTACCCTGGCGTTACAAGCGCCCTGCTCTACCAATTGAGTTACAGAGGACCAATCTTTCATAATAGATTATTATTGAATGAATTAATATCTTATCTGCTTTGTTCAACTTTAAAATCAGCATAGTTTAGAGACAGTGTGGAATAAAATGCAAAACCCCACAACACATAAAAAGGCATTCGACTTTCAGTGGTACACAGTACAGGTGAGATATTTTAGGCTTCTGTACCTCTATCGATCCTCTGGGGATCCGTGGTGTCGCGACGTACAGTACAAAAATGAAATACACCCCGACTATGCACTCTGTTACGCTGGTCTCAGGAAAACCACAGCATTTAGCGACGGCATTCAGCAGAGCTGGGAGTCCGAACCCCAGCAATACTGTCAAAAGAACTGAAAATGACACAAGTAGAGCAACTCGAACGAAGGGAAGCGAGGCCATTTTGTTAACTTCTGCTGTGTTGACTTCTTCTTCTTCAGAGTTTAACGGCGGCTGGCATCCAATGTGTTGCATTACCGCCCCCAGCTGGACTATAATATAAATACATTATACTGTGATACAACATGGGACAAGGAAAAGCTAAAAACCATTCCAACTGATCCGACACCCATTAACAACCCACTACCCCATTCCACTACTTTGACCCTATCCGTTCCTGCACCACCAGGATGGGACACCACCAGGATGGGACACCACCAGGATGGGACACCACCAGGATGGGACACCACCAGTCAACAAACCCTGTAACTCTTCTGAAGTCAAAATCTCATATGCCCAACTACTTCTCTGCAGCTGCCACTACAAAATCTATTTTCTGTGATTGACAATCCATTTCGATGCAGTGCCTTAGACCACTGCGCCACTCAGGAGTACGGGTTAGGGTTAGGGTTAGGGTTAGGGTGATTGACAATCCATTTCTGCGGTACAGTTGATAACCATTGCTATGAGCGCTAAGAAGCCAAACTTACTGAAGCGTACATCACTCGTTGGCCTATCCCTCTGTTCTGGCACTGATCTATTACTCACAGGGATCTCTCACCCTTGACCCTTGACCCATCCTCCTCTACTTTCTTCACTGCCTCAGCACACGAGACCTTCTGCACTGCTCGGACTCTGGACACCTCAACCTGCCTCTCTCAAACCGGACACTTACAATCCCCAGCAACATGGGCACCCTTACATCTTGGAATCTCCCTCCTACAAACTGCTGCAACATGACCATAAACGTTGCACCTGAAACAGAGCAGTGGATTCGGCACTAAAGCTCTATAAGGATAACTGATATATCCTGATATGACTGTCGGATGAAAACTCTGACTCAAAGGGACTGACAGTGACTCCTCTATTCATCACCCTGTCTGCCTCGCACCAAACGGGCATCACAAACACCAGGAATCTTCAACTTTTGTATTTGTATTTATTATGGATCCCCATTAGTTCCTGCCAAGGCAGCAGCTACTCTTCCTGGGGTTTATTATGGATCCCCATTAGTTTCCTGCCAAGGCAGCAGCTACTCTTCCTGGGGTTTATTATGGATCCCCATTAGTTCCTGCCAAGGCAGCAGCTACTCTTCCTGGGGTTTATTATGGATCCCCATTAGTTCCTACCAAGGCAGCAGCTACTCTTCCTGGGGTTTATTATGGATCCTCATTAGTTCCTGCCAAGGCAGCAGCTACTCTTCCTGGGGTTTATTATGGATCCTCATTAGTTCCTGCCAAGGCAGCAGCTACTCTTCCTGGGGTTTATTATGGATCCTCATTAGTTCCTGCCAAGGCAGCAGCTACTCTTCCTGGGGTTTATTATGGATCCCCATTAGTTCCTGCCAAGGCAGCAGCTACTCTTCCTGGGGTTTATTATGGATCCCCATTAGTTCCTACCAAGGCAGCAGCTACTCTTCCTGGGGTTTATTATGGATCCTCATTAGTTCCTGCCAAGGCAGCAGCTACTCTTCCTGGGGTTTATTATGGATCCCCATTAGTTCCTGCAAAGGCAGCAGCTACTCTTCCTGGGGTTTATTATGGATCCCCATTAGTTCCTGCCAAGGCAGCAGCTACTCTTCCTGGGGTTTATTATGGATCCCCATTAGTTCCTGCCAAGGCAGCAGCTACTCTTCCTGGGGTTTATTATGGATCCCCATTAGTTCCTGCCAAGGCAGCAGCCACTCTTCCTGGGGTTTATTATGGATCCCCATTAGTTCCTGCCAAGGCAGCAGCCACTCTTCCTGGGGTTTATTATGGATCCCCATTAGTTCCTGCCAAGGCAGCAGCTACTCTTCCTGGGGTTTATTATGGATCCCCATTAGTTCCTGCCAAGGCAGCAGCTACTCTTCCTGGGGTTTATTATGGATCCATTAGTTCCTGCCAAGGCAGCAGCTACTCTTCCTGGGGTTTATTATGGATCCCCATTAGTTCCTGCCAAGGCAGCAGCTTCTCTTCTTGGGGTTTATTATGGATCCCCATTAGTTCTTGCTGCTGGTGACTCTCAGATCCACCTCTACGCAGACGACACCATTTTGTATACATCTGGCCCTTCATTGGACACTGTGTTAACAAACCTCCAAACGAGCTTCAATGCCATACAACAATCCTTCAGTAGCCTTCAACTGCTCTTAAACACTAGTAAAACTAAATGCATGCTTTTCAATCGAACGCTGCTAGCACCCGCCCACCCGACTAGAATCGCCACTCTCGACGGGTCTGACCTAGAGTATGTGGACAACTACAAATATCTAGGTGTCTGGTTAGACTGTAAACTCAACTTCCAGACTCACATAAAGAATCTCCAATCCAAAGTTAAATCTAGAATCGGCTTCCTATTTCGCAACAAAGCCTCCTTCACTCATGCTGCCAAACATGCCCTCGTAAAACTGACTATCCTACCGATCCTTGACTTCGGCGATGTCATTTATAAAATAGCCTCCAACACTCTACTCAGCAAATTGGATGTAGTCTATCACAGTGCCATCCGTTTTGTCTCCAAAGCCCCATACACTACCCACCACTGTGACCTGTACGCTCTTGTTGGCTGGTCCTCACTACATGTTCGTCGTCAAACCCACTGGCTCCAGGCCATCTATAAATCACTGCTAGGCAAATCCCCGCCTTATCTTAGCTCATTGGTCACCATAGCAGCACCCACCCGTAGTCTGCGCTCCAGCAGGTATATCTCACTGGTCATTCCCAAAGCCAACACCTCCTTTGGCCGCCATTCCTTCCAGTTCTCTGCTGCCAATGACTGGAACGAATTGCAAAAATCTCTGAAGCTGGAGACTCTTATCTCCCTCAATAACTTTAAGCATCAGTTGTCAGAGCACCTTACCGATCACTGCACCTGTACACAGCCCATCTGAAATTAGCCCACCCAACTACCTCATCCCTATATTGCTATTTAATTTGCTCTTTTGCACCCCAGTATCTCTATTTGCACATAATCTCTTGCACATCTAGCATTCCAGTGTTAATACTATTGTAATTATTCTGCACTATAGCCTATTTATTGCCTTACCTCCATAACTTGCTACATTTGCACACACTGTATATATATTTTCTGTTGTATTTCTGACTTTATGTTTTTTTTTTACCCCATATGTAACTCTGTGTTGTTTTTGTTGCACTACTTTGCTTTGTCTTGGCCAGGTCGCAGTTGTAAATGAGAACCTGTTCTCAACTGGCTTACCTGGTTAAATAAAGGTGAAATAAAATAAAAAAATAAAAAAGGCAGCAGCTACTCTTCCTGGGGTTTATTATGGATCCCCATTAGTTCCTGCCAAGGCAGCAGCTACTCTTCCTGGGGTTTATTATGGATCCCCATTAGTTCCTGCCAAGGCAGCAGCTACTCTTCCTGGGGTTTATTATGGATCCCCATTAGTTCCTGCCAAGGCAGCAGCTACTCTTCCTGGGGTTTATTATGGATCCCCATTAGTTCCTGCCAAGGCAGCAGCTACTCTTCCTGGGGTTTATTATGGATCCCCATTAGTTCCTGCCAAGGCAGCAGCTTCTCTTCCTGGGGTCCAAACACATTAAGGCACTTACATTACATACAGTTGAAGTTGGAAGTTTACATACACTTAGGTTGGAGTCATTAAAACTCGTTTTTCAACCACTCCACAAATTTCTTGTTAAAACTCTATAGTTTTGGCAAGTCGGTTAGGACAATTTTTCCAATAATTGTTTACAGACAGATTATTTCACTTATAATTCACTGTATCACAATTCCAGTGGGTCAGACGTTTACATATACAAAGTTGACTGTGCCTTTAAACAGCTTGGAAAATTCCAGAAAATGATGTCACTACCTTGGCGTTACAAGCACCGTGCTCTACCAGCTGAGCTACAGAGGTACAAGGCCTATCTTCAAACTCAGTGCCTCTTTGCTTGACATCATGGAAAAAATCAAAAGAAATCAGCCAAGACCTCTGTCTCCTAGAGATGAACGTACTTTGGTGCGAAAAGTGCAAATAAATCCCAGAACAACAGCAAAGGACCTTGTGAAGATGCTGGAGGAAACAGGTACAAAAGTATCTATATCCACAGTAAAACGAGTCCTATATCAACATAAACTGAAAGGCCGCTCAGCAAGGAAGAAGCCACTGCTCCAAAACCGCCATAAAAAAGCCAGACTACGGTTTGCAACTGCACATGGGGACAAAGATCGTACTTTTTGGAGAAATGTCCTCTGGTCTGATGAAACAAAAATAGAACTGTTTGGCCATAATGACCATTGTTATGTTTGGAGGAAAAAGGGGGTTGCTTGCAAGCCGAAGAACACCATCCCAACCGTGAAGCACGGGGGTGGCAGCATCATGCTGTGGGGGTGCTTTGCTGCAGGAGGGACTGGTGCACTTCACAAAATAGATGGCATCATGAGGAAGGAAAATTATGTGGATATAATGAAGCAACATCAAGACATCAGTCAGGAAGTTAAAGCTTGGTCGCAAATGGGTCTTCCAAATGGACAATGACCCCAAGCATACTTCCAAAGTTGCGGCAAAATGGCTTAAGGACAACAAAGTCAAGGTATTGGAGTGGCCATCACAAAGTCCTGACCTCAATCCTTTAGAAAATGTGTGGGCAGAACTGAAAAAGCGTGTGCGAGCAAGGAGGCCTACAAACCTGACTCAGTTACATCAGCTCTGTCAGGAGGAATGGGCCAAAATTCACCCAACTTATTGTGGGAAGCTTGTGGAAGGCTACCTGAAACATTTGACCCAAGATAAACAATTGAAAGGCAATGCTACCAAATACTAATTGAGTGTATGTCAACTTCTGACCCACTGGGAATGTGATGAAAGAAATAAAAGCTGAAAGAAATAATTCTCTCTACTATTATTCTGACATTTCACATTCTTAAAATAAAGTGGTGATCCTAACTGACCTAAGACAGGGAATTTTACTAGGTTAAATGTCAGGAATTGTGAAAAACTGAATTTAAATGTATTTGGCTAAGGTGTATGTAAACTTCCGACTTCAACTGTATAAAACAGTACATCATATAAAACATCACACCACTACATATCTACAATACAAAATGTATAATACCACCATACAACAATATTACAATGTACGTGTGTGTAGAGTGTTTGTGCTAGAGTGTGTGTGTGTGTGTGTGTGTGTATGTGTGTGTGTGTGTCCCTTCCCAGTCCCCACTGTTCCATCTGATTCTACTGCTGGCATCAGTTACCTGATGTGGAATAGAGTTCCATGTAGTCATGGCTCTATGTAGTACTGTGCACCTCCCATAGTCTGTTCTGGACTTGGGGATTGTGAAGAGACCTCTGGTGGCATGTCTTGAGGGGTATGCATGGGTGTCCGGGTGCTAGTAGTTTAAACAGACAGCTCGATGCTTTCAACATGTCAATACCTCTCACAAAAACAAGTAGTGATGAAGTCAATCTCTCCTCTACTTTGAGCCATGAGAGATTGATATGCATATCATTCATGTTAGCTCTCTGTGTACATCCAAGGGCCAGCCGTGCTGCCCTGTTCTGAGCCAATTGCAATTTTCCTAAGTCCCTCTTTGTGGCACCTGACCACACGACTGAACAGTAGTCCAGGTGCGACAAAACTAGGGCCTGTAGGACCTGCCTTGTTGATAGTGCTGTTAAGAAGGCAGAGCAGCACTTTATTATGGACAGACTTCTCCCCATCCTAGCTACTGTTGTATCAATATGTTTTGACCATGACAGTTTATATTCCAGGGTTACTCCAAGCAGTGTTGTCACCTCAACTTGCTCAATTTCCACATTATTCATTACAAGATTTAGTTGAGGTTTAGGGTTTAGTGAAGGATTTGTCCCAAATACAATGCTTTTAGTTTTGGAAATATTTAGGACTAACTTATTCCTTGCCACCCATTCTGAAACTAACTGCAGCTCTTTGTTAAGTGTTGCAGTCATTTCAGTTGCTGTAGTAGCTGACATGTATAGTGTTGAGTCATCCGCATACATAGACACACTGGCTTTACTCAAAGCCAGTGGCATGTCGTTAGTAAAGATTGAAAAAGGTAAGGGGCCTAAACAACTGCCCTGGGGAATTCCTGATTCTAACTGGATTATGTTGGAGAGGCTTCCATTAAAGAACACCCTTGAATATCCTTCTCTATAAGCATGCTGAAAGTTTGTTGTCAATTTGTTTACAGTAAAATAGCATTGTCTCTGGTCAAACACAATTTTTTCCAGAAGTTTAATAAGGGTTGGTAACCGGCTGATTGGTCGGCTATTTGAGCCAGTAAAGGGGGCTTTAATATGCCATTTAGCAGACGCTTTTATCCAAATCGACTTACAGTCATGTGTGCATACATTTTTACGTATGGGTGGTCCCGGGGATCGAACCCACTACCCTGGCGTTACAAGCGCCATGCTCTACCAATTGAGCTACAGAGGACTATTCTTGGGTACCGGAATTACTTTTGCTTCCCTCCAGACCTGAGGGCACACACATTCTAGTAGGCTTAAATTGAAGATATGGCCAATAGCAGTGGCAATATCGTCAGCTATTATCCTCAGTAATTTTCCATCCAAGTTGTCAGACCCCGGTGGCTTGTCATTGTTGATAGTCAACAATACTTTTTTCACCTCTTCCACACTCACTTTACGGAATTCAAAAGTACAATGTTTGTCTTTCATAATTTGGTCAGATATACTTGGATGTGTAGTGTCAGCGTTTGTTGCTGGCATGTCATGCCTAAATTTCCTAATCTTGCCAAAGAAGAAATCATTAAAGTATTTGGCAATATCAGTAGGTTTTGTGATGAATGACATTTACATTTTATCCAGAGCGACTTACAGTTACTGATACATGCATACATTTTTCATACTGGCCCCCCCCCGTGGTAATCGAACCCACAACCCTGGTGTTGCAAGCGCCATGCTCTACCAACTGAGCTACAGGAGGACAATCTTATTCAATGAATGATTGAGCAGAGTTTGCCTTTTTACCCAAAATTTCATTTAAGGTGCTCCAAAGATTTTTACTATCATTCTTTATATCATTCATTTTTGTTTCATAGTATAGTTTTTCTTTTTTAGTTTAGTCACATGATTTCTCAATTTGCAGTATGTTTGCCAATCGGTTGGGCTGCCAGACTTATTTGCCATATCTTTTACATCCCTCTCAACCATATGATTCCTCATCAATCCACGGGGATTTAACAATGTTACATCCAGGTGAACATGCACCAGCGTTAGGAGCCGGTACCTAGAGAAGAGGTATGATAACACTAGCGGGAGAAGTATGGAGCCTCCAGGTGGGAGTGTAACATGTACTCAAAAGATCCAGCTTTGAGGGTTAAGGCCAACTGAAGACCTACCCTGGGCTAAGGCCAACTGAAAACCTACCCTGGATTACAGCCAACTGAAAACCTACCCTGGGTGAAACAAGCCAGAGAGGAGATCCGTCACAGCGGTTGCAGAAGTGAATTGTAAACGGTGTGAAAACTAAGGCAGCAGAACAGCATCTTTCCACAAGAATAGCAGAGGAAGACAATTTCTTTAGAAAATGTTAGAGATCCAATTAAGGTGCAACTTTATATCCAACTGACTGGTAACGAAACATAAGCATTTCCAGTCTGTTAGTCCCTAGTTGGGCTGTGAAAGCATTTCCAGTCTGTTAGTCCCTAGTTGGGCTGTGAAAGCATTTCCAGTCTGTTAGTCCCTAGTTGGGCTGTGAAAGCATTTCCAGTCTATTAGTCCCTAGTTGGGCTGTGAAAGCATTTCCCGCTATTAGTCCCTAGTTGGGCTGTGAAAGCATTTCCAGTCTGTTAGTCCCTAGTTGGGCTGTGAAAGCATTTCCAGTCTGTTAGTCCCTAGTTGGGCTGTGAAAGCATTTCCAGTCTATTAGTCCCTAGTTGGGCTGTGAAAGCATTTCCAGTCTGTTAGTCCCTAGTTGGGCTGTGAAAGCATTTCCAGTCTGTTAGTCCCTAGTTGGGCTGTGAAAGCATTTCCAGTCTGTTAGTCCCTAGTTGGGCTGTGAAAGCATTTCCAGTCTGTTAGTCCCTAGTTGGGCTGTGAAAGCATTTCCAGTCTGTTAGTCCCTAGTTGGGCTGTGAAAGCATTTCCAGTCTGTTAGTCCCTAGTTGGGCTGTGAAGCATTTCCAGTCTGTTAGTCCCTAGTTGGGCTGTGAAAGCATTTCCAGTCTGTTAGTCCCTAGTTGGGCTGTGAAAGCATTTCCAGTCTATTAGTCCCTAGTTGGGCTGTGAAAGCATTTCCAGTCTGTTAGTCCCTAGTTGGGCTGTGAAAGCATTTCCAGTCTGTTAGTCCCTAGTTGGGCTGTGAAAGCATTTCCAGTCTATTAGTCCCTAGTTGGGCTGTGAAAGCATTTCCAGTCTATTAGTCCCTAGTTGGGCTGTGAAAGCATTTCCAGTCTATTAGTCCCTAGTTGGGCTGTGAAAGCATTTCCAGTCTATTAGTCCCTAGTTGGGCTGTGAAAGCATTTCCAGTCTGTTAGTCCCTAGTTGGGCTGTGAAAGACGTCACATAATAATAAATAATATGCCATTTAGCAGACGCTTTTATCCAAAGCGACTTAGTCATGCGTGCATACATTTTTGTGTATGGGTGGTCCCGGGGATCGAACCCACTACCTTGGCGTTACAAGCGCCGTGCTCTACCAGCTGAGCTATGGACATGGCAGGACAATCCAGTAAACTCTTTCTTAGTCAGTGAGGACTCAGAAGTATTGCCACCCCTGCATCTATGAAAGGGGTATTTCAGTGCAAAAAAAAAAATCATATTAATCTTTAATTTGTCAAAGTGTGAATAAAGGCTATATTTTATTGTTTTCTATTCTGTTCACAAATACAGCGATAAAAAAGTATTGTTATAAATCACGATTGTGTCGATAAATTCATCCTTCACAGTGTGGTAATCTTTACAGTACGTGACAGACTAAACATCCTATACCAGTATTACATAGTTTATGCGCTCTGCCAACGATGTCAGAATGTTACCCACTGTAAAACAATTGTTGTAATCCTTAGAGCTGGGTAGTGACACACTAACTCAGAACAACATGGAGAAACAACTAGACTGAATCTGTCAAACTAACTGATCCCTTGTAGACCTTTATTTCCCTCTATTTGAGAAAAGCGTCAAGCTTTTTCTGGATATTGTCAAACGAGTCCATTCCCATGTAGTCCGCCTGGCCCTGTTCCCATTTCTGCTTGCGTTCCTCGGATGCCTCTGGTGACACGTACGGCTCAGTGTGATGGGGGTCCTGTGACGCGCTGCTTCCCTGGAGGGGAGAAGAAACAAAACAAGAATATTAACATCTAGAACGGAGAGATTTGATGAATTCTGGAAAAAGACTAAAAGCTCTGGAGAAACACCTGTTCCTTTGCAGTCAGTACAGCAGTACACAATTATCTAAAACCTAAAACCTGTCATTCATATTAACACATTGATATAAACCATCAATCGATCTATACTGAACAAAGATAAACTCAACATGCAACAATTTCAAAGATTTTACTGAGTTACAGATCATTTAAGGAAATCTATGTATTTCACATAACTGGGAATACAGATATGAATCTGTTGGTCACAGATACCTTAGAAAAAAAATTGTAGGTGCATGGATCAGAAAACCAGTCAGTATCTGGTGTGACCACCATTTGCCTCATGCAGCGCGACACATCTCCTTCACATAGAGTTGATCAGGCTGTTGATTGTGGCCTGTGGAATGTTGTCCCACTTAAAATAGCTGAGCGATGTTTCTGGATATTGGCGAGAACTGGAACACGCTGTCGTACACATCGATCTTGAGCATCCCAAACATGCTCAATAAGTGACATGTCTGGTGAGAATGCAGGCCATGGAAGAACTGGGACATTTTCAGCTTCCAGGAATTGTGTACAGATCCTTGCGACATGGGGCCATGCATTATCATGGTGAAACATGAGGTGATTGCAGCGGATGAATGGGCCTCAGGATCTTGACACGGTATCTCTGAGCATTCAAATTGCCATCGATAAAACGCATATTGTGTTCATTTTCCGTAGCTTATGCCTGCCCATACCATAACCCCACCATGGGGCACTCTGTTCACAACGTTGGCATTGGCAAACCGCATGACGCCGTACACGTGGTCTGCAGTTGAGAGGTCGGTTGGACATACTGCCAAATTCTCTAAAACAACGTTGGAGGCGGCTTATGGTAGAGAAATGAACATTCAATTCTCTGGCAACAGCTCTGGTGGACATTCCTGCAGTCAGCATGCCAATTGCACGCTCCCTCGAAACTTGAGACATCTGTGGCATTGTGCTGTGACAAAACTGCACCTGTGTAATGATCATGCAGTTTAATCAGCTTCTTGATATGCCAATTGTGTTCCTTGGCAAAGGAGAAATGCTCACTAACAGGGCTGTAAACAAATTTGGCCACAAATAAGCTTTTTGTGCGTAAGGCACACTTCTGGGATCTTTTATTTCAGCTCATAAAACATGGGACCAACACTTTACATGTTGCCTTTATAATTTTTGTTCAGTGTAGATCGTCAGCGAACTACCCCCTACCCCTATAGTATTATAGGTCTAGAAGCTAAGCCAGGTTTGTTGTCCAACAGATTGTCCACAAGAAGCAGCGATAGTTAGTGACCAGCGACAAGGTGTTGTCTGTTAAGCAATCACAACCGACTAGTCTTCAGCGTACCTTCCATCCACCTTCCTAGATCTGTGACCATAGATCTGTGACCATAGATCTGTGACCATAGATCTGTGACCATAGCTCATGCCAGTGACCATGATGGTTACGACTTTCTTTGACCGAGGACTGGAACTTTATCAGATGGACGAATGAGAGGGTTAGACGTCTCAACAGCCACCAGGTAGACGAATGAGAGGGTTAGACGTCTCAACAGCCACCAGGACTGAAGTATCACTACATTTTACAAATTGACTAATCATAATTTCTATTGTTTAGGTATTAATTAATTCAGGATGTGCGGTGGTCCAACATTACTTTTACTCACCAACAAGAAACATCCAAGTAAACACTTAATAATTCAAACTGTTCAAGTTGTTGATAACGGTTCTGTAGAGGAAGAACAAAGGTTAATACTTCTAGACTCACTTCCACACAGCCAGAGTGGAAGGGCTGGTCTCCGTATCCCTCCGTCATCATGGGCACCACAGAGGAAGAGTAGAGCATCCACCAGTCCAGGAGGAAGGTGGGGTGTGTGGAGGCCTCCTGCATGTCCCCACTGATCCGCTTGGTCTCGGGGTCGAACGTGTAGCTCCACGGCTTGGTCTGACCCAGGAAGTGGACCACCTTGGCGTTGCCACCGTATCTGGAACAGAATGTATGTTAACTTACATCTTGTTGCGAATCCAACTAATCTTGTAGTTAACGATTGTTGTGAATGCTGTGGATTGACATGTTTGACTGGCTTTTGGCCAGTATATCTGCAATACTGGGGGCAAATTGGGTAATAAATAAGTGTGATTAAATTATACAGGATACAATATCATTTAAATCAGCAGTAATAAGATTCCAAGAGTCACCAGTCTATTCCAAAACCTCTCTGTACTGTCCTTTACACACCCAATCAACAGTGTGACCGACAGTACTGTCTTTTCCACACCCAATCAACAGTGTGACTGACTACTGTCTTTTCCACACCCAATCAACAGTGTGACTGACTGTCCTGTCCTTTACACACCCAATCAACAGTGTGACTGACTACTGTCTTTTCCACACCCAATCAACAGTGTGACTGACTACTGTCTTTTCCACACCCAATCAACAGTGTGACTGACTACTGTCCTTTCCACACCCAATCAACAGTGTGACTGACTGTACTGTCTTTTCCACACCCAATCAACAGTGTGACTGACTACTGTCCTTTCCACACCCAATCAACAGTGTGACTGACTACTGTCCTTTCCACACCCAATCAACAGTGTGAGTGACTGGCACTCGAAGCAGGACAGGGAGCTCTAGTCATTCTGAGCAGTAGTAGCAAGTAAATACATGTTGTTCCGTCATTCTGATACCGTTGCCAGGGGGAAGACATGAACCCACGTTAACCACCGAGCTAACAGTTTGTTAATGACGGCTGATTTCGCCAGAACAAAAAATAAATGCCAGAGAGGGTGAGAAAAAGAGCGGGGGGGGGGGTGAAGGGAAGAGAGAGAAAGTGGGAGAGATTAGTCACTGCCCAGCGGAGGCATAAAGGGCTGTAAATAAACAGCTTTATTTTGGCCTCTGGTCTCAGCTGTGGAGCGCCGGCTTGATATCCAATCCAACGAGGCCTTGGGACCTAGAGGGGCTGGGAGAAGCTTCTAGACTAACTACTGCCTCGTTAAAGCTCCCTAGAGGGGCTGGGAGAAGCTTCTAGACTAACTACTGCTGCTGCCTCGTTAAAGCTCCCTACAGGGGCTGGGAGAAGCTTCTAGACTAACTACTGCTGCTGCCTCGTTAAAGCTCCCTAGAGGGGCTGGGAGAAGCTTCTAGACTAACTACTGCTGCTGCCTCGTTAAAGCTCCCTACAGGGGCTGGGAGAAGCTTCTAGACTAACTACTGCTGCTGCCTCGTTAAAGCTCCCTACAGGGGCTGGGAGAAGCTTCTAGACTAACTACTGCTGCTGCCTCGTTAAAGCTCCCTACAGGGGCTGGGAGAAGCTTCTAGACTAACTACTGCTGCTGCCTCGTTAAAGCTCCCTACAGGGGCTGGGAGAAGCTTCTAGACTAACTACTGCTGCTGCCTCGTTAAAGCTCCCTAGAGGGGCTGGGAGAAGCTTCTAGACTAACTACTGCTGCTGCCTCGTTAAAGCTCCCATCACTGGTAACCTGATGACATAGCATGTGACTATCGCCTTACGCCTCCCGTTCTCTCACAGCCAGTCTACTGTTGAGTCACTGCTGATCTTCATCCCACCTAATGTTAAGCAATCAGGGAATTCTAGAAAACATCTCAAATATTAAACTTGATGTAGCCATGTTTGTGATCTACACATATAGTTCAATATCATGAGTATGCAGGAAGGTAGGTGTAGATTGAGTACATACTGTTTGAATGCCGGAAGGTAGGTGTAGATTGAGTACATACTGTTTGAATGCAGGAAGGTAGGTGTAGATTGAGTACATACTGTTTGAATGCTGGAAGGTAGGTGTAGATTGAGTACATACTGTTTGAATGCTGGAAGGTAGGTGTAGATTGAGTACATACTGTTTGAATGCAGGAAGGTAGGTGTAGATTGAGTACATACTGTTTGAATGCTGGAAGGTAGGTGTAGATTGAGTACATACTGTTTGAATGCAGGAAGGTAGGTGTAGATTGAGTACGTACTGTTTGAATGCAGGAAGGTGGTGTAGATTGAGTACGTACTGTTTGAATGCTGGAAGGTAGGTGTAGATTGAGTACATACTGTTTGAATGCAGGAAGGTGGTGTAGATTGAGTACGTACTGTTTGAATGCTGGAAGGTAGGTGTAGATTGAGTACATACTGTTTGAATGCTGGAAGGTAGGTGTAGATTGAGTACATACTGTTTGAATGCAGGAAGGTAGGTGTAGATTGAGTACATACTGTTTGAATGCTGGAAGGTAGGTGTAGATTGAGTACGTACTGTTTGAATGCTGGAAGGTAGGTGTAGATTGAGTACATACTGTTTGAATGCTGGAAGGTGGTGTAGATTGAGTACATACTTTTTGAATGCTGGAAGGTAGGTGTAGATTGAGTACATACTGTTTGAATGCTGGAAGGTAGGTGTAGATTGAGTACATACTGTTTGAATGCTGGAAGGTAGGTGTAGATTGAGTACATACTGTTTGAATGCTGGAAGGTAGGTGTAGATTGAGTACATACTGTTTGAATGCTGGAAGGTAGGTGTAGATTGAGTACGTACTGTTTGAATGCTGGAAGGTAGGTGTAGATTGAGTACATACTGTTTGAATGCTGGAAGGTAGGTGTAGATTGAGTACGTACTGTTTGAATGCTGGAAGGTAGGTGTAGATTGAGTACATACTGTTTGAATGCTGGAAGGTAGGTGTAGATTGAGTACATACTGTTTGAATGCTGGAAGGTAGGTGTAGATTGAGTACGTACTGTTTGAATGCTGGAAGGTAGGTGTAGATTGAGTACGTACTGTTTGAATGCTGGAAGGTAGGTGTAGATTGAGTACATACTGTTTGAATGCTGGAAGGTAGTGTAGATTGAGTACGTACTGTTTGAATGCTGGAAGGTGGTGTAGATTGAGTACATACTGTTTGAATGCTGGAAGGTAGGTGTAGATTGAGTACGTACTGTTTGAATGCCGGAAGGTAGGTGTAGATTGCGATGCTGCTGAGGTTGTAGATGAAGGGGAGGTGTTTGGATATATCTGTTGTTGCCCAGTTACTGAAGTAGCCATTCAACACCCCCTGGTCCCCACCTAGAGAGGAAAACATCAGTTAGCAACAACGCACAACAGGGAGCACAATATATTTTGCCCCAACACATCATGGTTAGGAGTGGTTCAAAACGCGAGGAAGCAGAGACTAGTTCAAGAGTTCATCTAGAAGTCATTCATTTATGATGAGCTTTGTACATTGTCCAGGATATGAAGAGACCAGACACTTAGCCCACCACTGTAAGACCAACGTTATTTAAAACAGAAACACATTGTTCATATCCTCGGCACCCAAGGCACAACCCTCAGAGACAAGCAACACAATCACTATACAAGAGGTGGGCAATACAGAAAGCCTAGTGCAGACTTCACTATACAAGAGGTGGGCAATACAGAAAGCCTAGTGCAGACTTCACTATACAAGAGGTGGGCAATACAGAAAGCCTAGTGCAGACTTCACTATACAAGAGGTGGGCAATACAGAAAGCCTAGTGCAGACTTCACTATACAAGAGGTGGGCAATACAGAAAGCCTAGTGCAGACTTCACTATACAAGAGGTGGGCAATACAGAAAGCCTAGTGCAGACTTCACTATACAAGAGGTGGGCAATACAGAAAGCCTAGTGCAGACTTCACTATACAAGAGGTGGGCAATACAGAAAGCCTAGTGCAGACTTCACTATACAAGAGGTGGGCAATACAGAAAGCCTAGTGCAGACTTCACTATACAAGAGGTGGGCAATACAGAAAGCCTAGTGCAGACTTCACTATACAAGAGGTGGGCAATACAGAAAGCCTAGTGCAGACTTCACTATACAAGAGGTGGGCAATACAGAAAGCCTAGTGCAGACTTCACGGGCAGCTACTCTCGGGAAAAATTTACTTACCGTGAACGATGTGGCCGTCTCACCTAGCTACCTTAAGATGGATGCACTAACTAAGTCGCCCCTGCTAAATGACTAAAATGTAATGGATTTGTGAACAGGTTGTCTGAATGATAAGACTTCAGATGGATGGAGCAGAGTGAGGCAGTACAAAGGAGAGTAGCTGTAACCGTTGGATGGATCAGCTGGCCGTCAGTCTCATTCAGCCGTCTATCCAACACGTATGGATCAGCTGGCCGTCAGTCTCATTCAGCCGTCTATCCAACACGTATGGATCAGCTGGCCGTCAGTCTCATTCAGCAGTCTATCCAACACGTATGGATCAGCTGGCTGTCAGTCTCATTCAGCAGTCTATCCAACACGTATGGATCAGCTGGCCGTCAGTCTCATTCAGCCGTCTATCCAACACGTATGGATCAGCTGGCTGTCAGTCTCATTCAGCCGTCTATCCAACACGTATGGATCAGCTGGCCGTCAGTCTCATTCAGCCGTCTATCCAACACGTATGGATCAGCTGGCCGTCAGTCTCATTCAGCTGGCCGTCAGTCTCATTCAGCCGTCTATCCAACACGCTTACACCTGTAACCCCTAAAGCTATTAGACTTTCTGCCAACACCACCAAAGGCTCCTTTGTCAGTTGACTACTCAGATCAGTCCTGACAGTAAAACTGGTTGTTCAGAAACACAAAGCTGCCCTCAATAATGTCTACATGGATGGTCTGAATAGACGGTGCTTTCAGAGAGTATTCATAACCCTCAACTTATTCCACACTGTTGTTACAGCCTGAATTCAAAATGGATGAAATTAATTTTTTCCTCACCAAACTACACACAATAACCCAAAATGTATGTAAATTAGATTTGTATTTCATTTTCATAAGTATTCACACCAGAGTCAATACTTTGTTGAAGCACCTTTGGCAGCGATTACAGCTGTGGGTCTTAATTAATTCCTGGGTACGTCTAAATGCTTTCCACAACTGCATTGTGCAACATTTGCCAATTACTCTTTTCAAACTGGTTGTTGATCATTGCTAGACAGCCATTTTCAGGTCTTGCCATGCTGTAGATTTTCAAGTAGATTTAAGTCAAAACTAACTCGGCCACTCAGGATCATTCAGTCGTCTTGGTAAGCAACTCCAGTTTAGATTTGGCCTTGTGTTTTAGGTTATTGTCCTGCTGCAAGGGGAATTCATCTCCCAGTGTCTGGTGGAAAGCAGACTGAACCAGGTTTTCCTCTAGGATTTTGCCTGTGCTTAGCTCCATTCCATTTCTTTTTTATCCTGAAAAACTCCCTAGTCCTTAACGATTACAAGTATACCCATAACATGATGCAGCAACCACCATGCTTGAAAATATGGAGTGGTACTCAGTAATGTGTTGTTTTGGATTTGCCCCAAAAATACAGTTGAATACTTCGACTCAAAACATTGCACATTTTTTTATCATTTGGAAAATTAAAAAAAAAAAATGTTCACTGACATGGGTTATTGTAGGTCAGTGGCAAAAAAATAAGTTTTATCCATTTTGAATTCAGGCTTTAAAAAAAAAAAAAACGTGGAAAGTCAAGGGGTGTGAATACTTTCCTGAAGGCACTGTAGAGCCACTATACCCCCCCCCCCCCCCCCCCCACATCCAGCCACTCTCCATCCAGCCACTCTCCATCTCTAAGCCCTACAGTCCAGCACATGAAAACATGAGGAAGTCCTTTAAAATGGCTGAGCAACCTTCTCAGAAGAGGCCCACCTTCCTTGGGATCTACACACACGTAAGGTGTGCAGAAGGTCATTGAGTAAATCACATTCAAGGTTTCACAATCCACCAGTCAAATTACAATACAAGGAGTGAATGTAACCACTAGGAGAGACTAGCCACAGGATAGTGTACACAGAACAGAATGTGAGCAAGAGGACCTTTAAAAGCTGGAGACTATTCTACGTAGGCTACGTGTTCTACAGCATAGAGCTGTATCGGTACAGTCTCGAAAATCACATGTCTGCAGTTAATTATAGGCAGAGCGGCTGAAGTACTGTCCTTCCATTCATTCAGCCCAACCCCGGCCCGTATACCACAGCCCCAGATACTCCCCCTTACTGTCCTTCCATTCATTCAGCCCAACCCCGGCCCGTATACCACAGCCCCAGATACTCCCCCTTGGGGCTTTCCTCCAGCAGAGAGGTTCCATAAAGTTAATGAGCCCAAATATTTTCATTTAGAGGGGCTGAGCAGAAACCAGTAGGAATGCGGCTCAAACCCTGCGGGTACTGGCAGTGGATGATACAGAACCACAGGTCCAGATACCAGCCCAGGGCAGAAGCATATCTGACCTGGACAGCATGCAGTAATAAAAGGGGAAATTGTATCGAGGCACCCCAGGACCATGACCTGAAGTCTGATCTCTCCTGAACCATTTCATCACTCAGATCTGCCATTGCCCAATAGTTGGTTCTGTTGGTTAGCCAGCGCTATAGTCAGGTCAAAAATGGCCCCAATAACGTGGGCCCTGACTATGTTAATTTACTCACGCTATGTTTTTTCAGTCGTAGTGGAGGACCAGAGCATAAACGCTAAAGGTCAGAGAAGAACTGCAATCACAGCTACAGTGAAAAATAAATACTAAAGTTTTAGCCAATTAGCCATACCCAGCTAGCATACCTCTAATCCATTAATAATAATAATAAGCCATTTAGCAGACGCTTTTATCCAAAGCGACTCAGTCATGTGTGCATACATTTTTACGTATGGGTGGTCCCGGGGATCGAACCCACTACCCTGGCATGTCCCGGGGACATTAATGGGTCATTAAACATCACAGGGAATCCAGGTGGTTTAGAACACTGACCGGGGATCAGGTCTGACTGAATACTGACCGGGGATCAGGTCTGACTGGACACTGACCGGGGATCAGGTCTGACTGGACACTGACCGGGGATCAGGTCTGACTGGACACTGACCGGGGATCAGGTCTGACTGGACACTGACCGGGGATCAGGTCTGACTGGACACTGACCGAGGATCAGGTCTGACTGGACACTGACCGGGGATCAGGTCTGACTGGACACTGACCGAGGATCAGGTCTGACTGGACACTGACCGAGGATCAGTCTGACTGGACACTGACCGGGATCAGGTCTGACTGGACACTGACCGGGATCAGGTCTGACTGGACACTGACCGAGGATCAGGTCTGACTGGAAAATGGTAAACAAATCCTTCAAATGGGATATGGATATGCTCCTCCAACAAGCCTGCGTTCTTGGTAGACAAAAAGTGTTTGTGGTTGGTTTTGTCTGGGAGGTCCAGGTTCCTCCTGTGTGATACCAGCCCAGAAAGACAATCCAAGATGGCGGCAGGGCAGTTCCGCTGAGCACGTTGTGCCTCAGAAGTGTATATTAGCAAAACCGTTACAGGCTGTTGTCATTAACTCTTCCATTACTTTGTCTTCAGTGTTCAATCTCAACAGTGAACTGTGATGGACTCCCATTGTCCACTAGAACTTTCCACCATCACCTCAACCACAAAGACCATGTTCGAGGGGAAGGGGAGGGAACTTGTTTGTCTGCCATATATTAAAGATAAACTGGCTGAAAAGAATTAGCATAAATAGAAAAATATACCAGTTTGATTTGAGGACATAAATGTTGCCAGCTGCCCCATACAGGCTGCAACATCAATGGGAAGAGATTTTCGATGTACTGATTCCATGGCACATGGTTTATGAACTGATACAAAAAAACACTTGATTCAACACTGAGTTTTTCAATTGAAATAATACAAGATTCTTGCCACCAACAGAATACAGTGCCTTGCAAAAGTATTCATCCCTTGGCGTTTTTCCTATTTTGTTGCATTACAACCTGTAATTTAAATGGATTTAATGTAATGGACATACAAAGTGGTCCAAATTGGTGAAGTGAAATTAAGAAAATAACTTGTTTGAAAAAATTCAAGAAAATAAACGGAAAAGTGGTGCGTGCATATATATTCACCCCCTTTGCTATGAAGCTCCAAGATAAGATCTGGTGCAACCAATTATCTTCAGAAGTCACATAAGTAGTTAAATAAAGTCCACCTGTGTGCAATCTAAGTATAATATAATATGCCATTTAGCAGACGCTTTTATCCAAAGCGACTTACAGTCATGCGTGCATACATTTTTTTTTTGTGTATGGGT